GAGAGAGAGAGAGAGAGACTCACTATCTCTTGGTGATTGGCTCAAAGGCAGGACTAGAACAGGCTCCTGGTGATTTGCACATATTAGATGTGCCTAAAAATAGTGTTATGACTATTAAAAGGATGCAGTCAATATTGATCAGTTGAAAAATGAATTTGTGCCGAAATCAATAACACCTGACCATGTTTGTTTGATTAATATAATAATGTTTACCTGGATTAAGATTGGTTTTGTAGCAAAATGAACGATGCTCAGACGCCACACTCTCCGTGCAATGATATTGATGATATTGGTGCATGGTTAAAAATACCAAAGTTTATTAAAAAAAAAAAAAAAAGATAAGAACTTTGATCAACTCTCTTTTCCTCCTCCTCCTCCTTTTCTGACAGGGAGCTGTGGAAGGCTGCAGCATGGGATTCACCAAATTTTGTACCACGCTACTAAATCACCCCAGCCCAGAGCTACAAACCATCCCACGAACTATGCTCACCCAGGTAGGATCTCATTTAGCAATTGCCAGCAGGTGTTTATTGATTTAAGAAAAATGTATATGGCCTCCCTCTCACTCTCGGTGACTCTGAGCAGATTCCCCCAAAAATAAATGTACCATAAGGGCTCCTCCAAAATACAGATAGTCCTCAATTTATGACAGTAATGGAGCCTGGCCATCACGATTGTAAGTTGCAATGATTGTAAGCAAGTCACTCACATGGCTGAGTTTACGGCTTTTGTTGCAGTCATCTTAAAGTGAACACTAGGGTTGTTAAGTGAACCAGTGTTGTGCTAAGATGGGCAGCCAATAAATTTAAGAGAGAGAGGGGGAGGGGAGAATAAGAGAGAAAGAGAGAGAGAAAGAGAGAGAGATAAAGAAAGAGAGAGATAATGAATGAGAGAGAAATTGAGAGGGGGAGAATGAGGGAGAAAGAGAGAAAGAGAGAAAGGGAGAGAGAGAAGGAATTAGAGAGAAATTGAGAGGGAGAGAATGAGAAAAAAGAGAGAATGAGAGAAAGAAAGAGAAAGAAAGAAAGAAAGAGAGAGAGACAAAGAGAGGGAGAGAAATTGAGAGGGGGAGAATGAGAGAGAAAGAAAGAGAGAAAGAATTAGAGAGAAATTGAGAGGGAGAGAATGAGACAGAAAGAGAGAATGAGAGAAAGAAAGAGACAGAAAGAAAGACAGAAAGAAAGAGAGAGAGAGAAATTGAGAGGGGGAGAATGAGAAAGAAAGAGAGAGAGAGAAAGAGAGCCTCACTATCTCTTGGTGGTTCGCTCAAAGGCAGGACTAGAACTCACAGCCTCCTGGTGATTTGCCCAAAGTCACCCAGCTGACTTTTATGGCTAAAGCAGGACTTGAACTCTCGTCCTCTTGCTTTCTAACCCAATTCCTTAACCACTAAACCAAACCGGCTCTTTTAAAAATCTCTTTCAAGGGTCTGGCTTTGTTAAGCAGCTCCAGAGGAAGCTCCATCACTCGCAGGGCAGCCGGTTTCCCAATGCTCTTCCTATGCATTGTGACAGGGGAAGATCCCGCCTCGTCCCGGCCTCTTCTGACTCACTGCATTCAGACGTTGCTCGCCTTAGCCAGCCAACCGATCTCCCACAGCTCAGAGCAGACAGTGGATTTGCCCCAGGTAAGGACACAGCTGCCGGGTGCAGACAAGCAGAGCCACTTGGGGATAACAAAAGTCAGCAACTTCATTGCTTACCACCTACGCTACGAGAATCCACCCAGCCTGCTTGCCTTCCCATGGGAACAACCAGATAAGGCAAGGGTGTGAAACTCAAGGCCCCTGGGGTGGATCCAGCCTGTAGGGTGCTTAAATCTGGCCTGTGGGGCAAGCCTGGAAATATCAAAGGACCAACCCGCAGCTTGATTTCAACCTTCCCAGCCTCCAGCAGCACTCTGCCGGCCAAAAATGGACCCTGTGGGGGCCTCATGGGGCCTCCACACAGCCTGTTTTCTGCCAGCAGAGTGCTGGAGGCTGGGGAGGCTGAAAATGAACCTCACGGGGCCTACATGCAGCCTGCTTTCAGCCGGCAGAGTGCTGCAGGAGGTGTCCATCCCGTTATGGGATTGGCTCCTCCCAGGAGACATAAAGGAGGAGCAAAAGCACGTGAGCCATTGCAGGAAGCAACTTTGTTCATTCTGGTCAGCTTAAATTCTGAAGCTCCGTTTTAACTCTGTGCTCCGTGTGGCTTTGCAAAGCTAATTGCCAATGAGGTCTTTGTCAGCGTTTCAAGGGAGATAAAGGCAGGTGCTTATCAGCCTTATCCCGAAAGACTTTGGCAGACTTCTGTCGGACTCTTTGCAAACTATTTGGGACTCATTACGGGCTGTGAATGAACATGATTCACGGTCGTTGAAATGAAAAGAGGGCTTTGAGGACTAAGCCTGTAATTTTTACTGTCTCAGGAAACCTAGGTCAGAACAAAAACAAGCAAGCTCAAAGAGCACCAAGGAGGGTGGGGGTTGGACTAGATGACCTACAAGGTCCCTTCCAACTCTGTTAATCTGTACCTGTATCTTTATGGTCAAGCAGAGGTGCGTTGCCCACTGAACCCCGAAGAAGACAACTCCAGCACTTTTGTGATATCCTCACCGAGTCCTAATATCCTGATCAATTCTCGGTCCGTGTGTGAATTGATTTCTTTTCCATTTATCTTCTGTAGGTTTCTGCCGTCCACGTGCTTCAAACGTTAGTCCGTGGTTCCAACCTTGGCCCTGCCCTGCAACCACACATCACATCTCTAATGGTGTTGGTTCTGCAGGCTCTAAGCTCCCCGAGTTGGGCTATGAGGAACGCAGCCAACCAACTTTTCGGTAAGTCCATTCACGGTCTCCCTTTGGAACCTGAGGTCTGTCGGATTGCTGAGATGACTTCAAAACAGATTCTTGCTTTATTCCCAAATGTTTTTGAAGTTCTTCCTAACGTCCGATCTTCGCTTTCCTCCAGGTGCCTTGTCTGTTCGCCTTCTCGGGCAGAAATGGAGTCCGGAGGACAGCCGTGCCAAGGATGGGGTAAGCCCCGAAGCTCTGTTTGGCCGGCATGTTCATTTGAGAAGCGTCCTCCTTGGAGAATTGACCCTGGCTGTGGAAGTGTCCGTATCCGAAGGACCGAGAAGAGGGACATTCCACCTCTGTCCTTCCCTCTACGCTGTCCTCACTTTTCTGGCCAAGCTGCAGCCCAGCGGAGACACTCAGGACAGGTAAGCTGAGAAATGGCAGAAGGCACTTTGGCGGGACCTCAAAGTTACTGAGTCATTAAAACGAAGACGCTTGAGATCCAGCCATTCAGTGCGCTGGAGAACCATCTCAACGGTAGCACTGGCCAGCTAGCATCTCTGGCACTGATGATGCTACTAGTTTGGGTAACTAGTATCACACTCCCTTCTAGCACAGAGAATGTTACCTAGTTGGGTTGTCAGAGTTTTGGCAGCTTGACTATTATTATGAGATAAAACCAGGAGCAAAACACAGCACACAGAGCCTTTAAACAATTAATAGTGGTTTATATATACATATATACAGACATACACATGGAGATAAATCCCTTACCATTCAGCTACAGACACAAGGAGAGAAATGAGATACACGACGAGAGAGAGAAACGCCCTCTAATAGGTAGGTAGGTATGTGTGAGTGTGTGTTTGTGTGTGTGTGTGTGTNCTTCTTCTTCTTCTTCTTCTTCTTCTTCTTCTTCTTCTTCTTCTTCTTCCTCTTCCTCTTCTTCCTCTTCCTCTTCTTCCTCTTCTTCCACCTCCTTTGGACCTTCTCCAGGTTTTAGATGCCCCCTTGGTTAGATTCACCTTCTACAGTTTGGGTTACCTAAGGACCAGCGCTTATCAAATAAATTCACAATTCATATCTAGGTTGGATTCCTTAATTTTTAGCCTGTATGAGATGTTGGTTCCAGATCTTCTATTGGTTCCCTGCAGGGGTGATTTTGGCGTTACGGAGATGCCTGCTTGAAGAACCAGAAGTTGTGTCTTCTATGTTAGAAGCCCAGAAGATGCCACACTGGCGGTTACTCTTCCAGCGTTTGGTGAGGACAGTGAGAGACATCAGCAATTTACTCTTGAGCGTGTTGCAAAGTCATCAAGCATCAAGCACAGACCAACATGGTAAGGCCAAGCCTGTAAAATAAAAATCTAACCTGGATCCTTTAATCCAGTGTTTTTCAACCTGGCAGCTTTAAGATAGGTGGACATCCAACTCCCAGAATTCGCCAGCCAGCAAGACAAAGCTGGCTGGGAATTCTGGGAATTGAAGTCCAAGCATCTTAAAGTTGCCAAGATTAAGAAACATATGTGCTAGTTGTTCCCGACTCTGGGGGTGGTGGTCCTCTCCGTTTCAAAGCCAAAGAGCCAGCGCTGTCCGAAGACGCCTCCGTGGTCATGTGGCCGGCATGACTCAACACCGAAGGCACACGGAACGCTGTTCCCTTCCCACCAAAGGCGGTTCCTGTTTTTCTACTTGCATTTTTTACGTGCTTTCGAACTGCTAGGTTGGCAGAAGCTGGGACAAGGAACGGGAGCTCACTCCGTTACGTGGCGCTAGGGATTTGAACTGCCGAACTGTCGACCTTTCCGATCGACAAGCTCAGCGTCTTCGTCACCGTGTCCCAAGGATCTATATTAGTCTCCCTTTATTTCTTGGTTGGGAAAATATAAATTTAACCCAAGCAGAGAGCTAGCACAAGTCAACTGGAAGGAATTAAAAAAAATAGACCTACCCTGTTTAATATGATTACTCAAAAGGAACACAAAGGTTGTGACAACTAAGGACTCAGACTATGGGAAGAGATGGTTCCCTGGGTTACACCACAATCAAAACAGTGCCTATAGGTCAGTGGTGGGATTCAGCCAGTTCGCGCCTGCAATACTGCATTCTAACCACTGTGCTGGCTGGCTGGCTGGCTGGCTGGCTGGCTGGCTGGCTGGCTGGCTGGCTGGCTGGCTGGCTGGCTGGCTGNTATTGACATTGACTTATTTATTGACTTGTTTATTTATTTATTGACTTTATTGACTGACTTACTTACTTTATTTTATTTATTTATTAACTTATTGACATTGACTTATTTATTGACTTAATTTATTTATTTATTTATTTACTATATATTTTTTATTTATTTATATTCCGCCTTTATTATTTTTTACAAATAACTTAAGCTGGCGAACATATCCAACACACCTACTTCCTCTGCCTCCCCCCCCTCTTAAAACTACAACCCTGTGAAGCGGGTTGGGCTGAGAGAGTCACCCAGCTGGTCTTTTGATAAAATAAATTCCAAGATGAAAAGCACAGTTGGGAGCATTCAGTTATTATTCTGAATGTTACAAAATCAGTAACATCCTTATCCCAACCTAAGACAGGGCTTTGTCAAGTGTCCAGCCTTGGCTGACTCAGGTTTGAAGTGCAATTATAAAAATTATATATAATTATATAATGTATTATATCTACATCTACATCCATCCATCCATCCATCCATCCATCCATCCATCCTTACAATTTTATACAGTATTTATATTAATTTATAATTTATACAATATTTATATTATTGTAGTGTAATATAAACCAACATCTCCACATAGCATCGTGCTGGGAAAGCAGGGTGTATGGGGACCCATAGACTGGATATGCCACAACTAACAATTATAATTTGGTTTGGATATGCTAACATTGTGTTTCCATTGTTGGGGGCAATATATTGATTCTGTAAACTACTTACATACGGCTATAAAGCACTGTCAAGCAGTATACAAGTGCTATTGCTATGCTATGCTATTCTTGCCATGGGGGTGCAAGGGTTAAAGTGCAGTATTGCAGGCTGACTCTGCCCACAGCCCAGAGTTTGATCCTGGCCAGCTCCAGATTGACTCAGCCGTCAATCTTTCTAAGGTGGGTAAAATGAAGACCCAGATTGTTGGGGAAAATATGCTGACTCTTAGAGTGGGCTGTAAAACACTGTGAAGCAGTATATAAGTCTAAGTACTATTGCTATTTGTATTTGTTCACTCATATTATTTCATCTGTAGACTGCAGAGAGTCTTTAAGGATTCAGGAGTCTGGATGATGATGATATGGCATAATTTTTACATAACCACAATTAGAGATGTAAGGTGATTCAATATATTAGGCTGAAATATGGTTGGCTATTTTGTGGCTTAGTGTATCTTACATATCAAAGCAACATTGTTACTTTGGAGTATTGTGAGAACCCAAGCAGTCGGGACTGCCTTACATGGAGCAATCTATATCTAGATCAATTTTAGTGACTGAGTACAACCCTAAAAGCTTTTAGACAGGAAATTCAAATTGTATTTGGAAGTTCTAAGAGGTGTAATCTGGGATAACACACAAACACTCTACGGGTGAGCGATTATTCATTTCCATGATGTTATAGCATGGGACTAAATGAATAATTGGCAAAAATATAATTGAAAAATTGATATTGCATGATCCAAAATATTCTAGATCAGGCAGGGGTGGGATTGAAAAATGTTAGCAACTGGTTCTCTGCCTGGTTGCTGGGTGGGAGTGGCTATGGTGTATGCGGTCGACTTGGTCTCCTACACCATGGCGGTGGCGGTGGGGGCATTTTCACCCTCCCTAGGCTCCAGAGGCTTTCTTCAAGCCTCTGGGAGGGCAAAAGCAGCCTCCCCCAGAGGCCAGAAACAGGCCCCTATCCAGACTTCTGGAACTTCTGGAAGGCCCGTTTTTTGCTCTCCCAGAACATCTGCGTGGGCCTTGCACTTACCTTGCATGATGAATGGGCTGCGTGGAGACTCCTGGGAGGGAAGGACATGGTGGACGGGGCCAGCCAGTCCTTCCAACTACTGGTCTGGCAAATCAGATGCAAAATTAGCATCCGGATCAACCAAACTGATCCGAACCAGCTGAATCCCACCCCTGAGATCAGGGCTGTCAAACTCCCGGCCTGCAGGCCAGATGCGCCTCATGCTGACCACACCCGGTTTAGTGGAGGGAAAAAAACCTCCCAATATGTCACATGATTCTGCCATGACGATGCAGGTTTGACACCCCTTCTCTTGATAGAGACCTGTGCTCATTTTACAATGGGCAGATTTTTATTGTCTAATTTTAATCATTTAACAGCAGTACTAAATGCTGATGAAATGGCTTCAGGAGTTTATCTTTCTATGCTAACCTCTCCTATCTCCGTACCATTTTAAAATAATAATTTAGGTTCCAGTTTGGGAGCTAGAAACACTTTGGAGATATTGCTGGGGGATGTGTCGAAGGACTTCCTGACTCGTCCCCTAACCCGGAATGAAGCCTGTCTTGTTCTTCTCCGTGTGGCCGTCTTTGGAGCCACCACCTACTTCAGTATAAAGTGGGTCTCAGATGCCCTAGACCCAGCCCAGAAGCAAAGAATCCAGTTGAAGAAAAGAGTATGTATGACAAGTATGTGTTGTAGCTGGGTTCCCATGGTTAAATTAGAGCCACTACTGAATCTTGATTTGTCTAATATTTTTGACAAGTTCTAACAAAATCACTACATAGGGATGCAGTGGCTCAGTGGCTAAGACACTGAGCTTGTCGATCAGAGAGGGCGGCAGTTCGACGATTCGAATCTCTAGTGCTGCGTAACAGAGTGAGCTGCCATTACTTGTCCCAGCTTCTGCCAACCTACCAGTTCGAAAGCACATAGAAAGTAGAAAAATAGGAAGCACCTTTGGTGGGAAGGTAACAGTGTTCTGGGCACCTTTGGCATTTAGTCATGATGGCCACGTGACCACAGAGATGTCTTCAGACAGTGCTGGCTCCTCGGCTTTGAAACGAAGATGAGCACCACCGCCTAGATTCAGGAATGAGTAGCACGCATGTATGGGGAAACCTTTACCTTTACCTTTTTAACAGAATCACTGGTCCTTCTTAAACTCTTTTTTGTTTGCTGTGTCCTAAGTGGCGTTTAAAAAAAGCAGAAACAAAAACACTGGGATGGGTATTAGAATCATAAAACAATCTACTTATGAGCCACAATGGCGCAGTGGTTAGAGTGCAGTACTTCAGGCACTTTCTGCTGCCTGCCGGCTGCCTGCAATTTGGCAGTTCAAATCTCACCAGGCTCAAGTTTGACTCAGCCTTCCATCCTTCTGTGGTGGGTAAAATGAGGACCCAAACTGTTGGGGAC